TCATGCCTAAAACTTTCAAATGGTTCAAAATATTTTGGTTGGAATTATATTGAGTGTATAAGTAAATGTAAAGAACATCTTGAACATTTTTTGTTAAGACTTATTTTTAGGTATATTAACATTTTTATTCAACTGTCAAAAAGCTTTCATTTACAAGAATACAACTGACTTTTGCACACCAACTGTGAATGTAACAATCCTGGTAAACTATAGATATTAACTGAATTGTCTATACGTATAATTGCATCAATACATAAAGATAATTTCCTGCCTCCAAGAAAGAAAAAAATCCAGAAAATTACATTGCCCATAACTTATTTAAAAATATACAATAGTGGGCCGGGGATTTAGCTCAGTGGTTTCGGCACCTGCTGAGAAGCACAAGGGCCCGAGTTCGATCCCCGGTACAAAAAAAAACAAATAGTTGTCATTTTAGAGATGTTTGTGGTTATATAAATACTGTAACACAATGGTATCTGGGAATAGTGTAGCTATAAGACATCTTTAAATTGAATTAAGAAGTGAGGTACACTTAGATTTGCTTGGGATCAAAGTGTCTTCATCTCAGCTCATAGGTTGCTGTGAAATGTAAGAACTTGGCAGAATTCTAGCACACAAAAGAGGCTCTGATTTTATTTTATTTCTAATTCTACATTTAATTTCTATTATTTTATTTCTAATACTGGCTCTGATTTTCTTTTTATGTTTTCATAGCAATATGACTCTTTTATATTTTGTACAATGAGGACTAAAAACAAGGCTTTGGCAAAAAAAAAACAAACGTCTGTTTCTCTTCAGGCCTTACCATCACAGAGAACTATAAAGCAACTTGCTATAAAAAAACTTTACATGTTTTAGTCAAATGAGGTATGAGCCCAAGTGTTGACCAGTAAATCAATAGTTAATAACCTTAAAGTATCACATTTTAAGAGGTAACAATTTCAGAGAAGCCATAAGAACCTGAAATAATTTAACAAGTTAATATATACATACATATATTTTTTATCAATTATAACATAGCCATACAAAGCATTTACTAGAAATATAATTCACACATGCAAACATTTTACCTTTTGTCCCTTTTATATCCCATTTTAGACAAATATGATGGAATCCAGAAAAATAATATGGATGCATTAGTTCTAAAAACTACTTATTTTATAAATGAAATAGATCCAGTCTTCTATACCTTCTCTCAACTTCTAAATAATGAGGCTTACTAAATTGTATTCTTAGAATCAACTTAAATAAATCTTTGCTCAATTTGGATGAAATGTACATTTTCAATGGTTGATAGTCTAGGTAGAAAAAGTATAAAATGACTCGTAAGTCAAAACATTTCACACAAAAGGAATGGTTTTAATAAAACCTAGACAATATCAAAAGGAAATGCATTGAATTTAAAAACTTCTGAAACACACATTTTTGGGAGAGACCATTATATAAAATATCTAAAAGTTCAAAATGTTGAAAAACAAATTTATGTAGACAAAGCTAAGGGGTAAATAACTATCAAATGTATTAAAATCATCTTAAGCCAAATAAGATGTAACTAAACTATATAATTTAGAAATAAAGTTTAAGTGCATTTTCTTTGTATAATTTAATTGACTACTACATATAAAAAACTGGTAATTAATTAAAATGCAATTAAATATAGATTTGCAAGCTTTTTGGCCATTATGTAAATATTAAAATGTTAACTGAATTGCCAATTGAAAAATAAAAGCTTACATATATACTAAAAAAGCATAAATGGTCAAAGATGCACTATAAAATTGTGTGGAAAAAATTCGTATCAAATAAAGATCTTTCAGGCATTTGCATTCAGAAATATTTTATAAATAAGCATGTAGTCTCATTCAAAAAAAAAGCATATTTTCCCCAAACTGCATCTATTAGTTGAGAATTTTATCATATATTAGGGATGGATTTAAGTGGACTATTTTATGGGGAAAGTCATCAACTTTAAAAAATATGAGTCCACCTTTTTTATTCACAACTTCAAAAACACAGAATTTAAAGATTCCAGTGAGGCACAAATGTGGCCCTATCAAAACACCCTACCATTCAATATGACCAACATACATAACACAACAAAGAGCAAACCCCACACTGTGACAATTCTATACAAAGGAGGCCCTGTCAAAATAGTCTTTCACTAGACAAACACAAGATAAAACAAAAAAAGGAACCCTGAATTTTGATAACTCTACACAAATTGTGGGATTTCATCTTCAAGGTCTTCAAATTGTTGCATTCGTTTTAGCTTTGGCCTCTGGCACATTGGAGTCAGATCAGGGAAGTCATGTTCCTCAGAGTTTCCTTTAGGCTGACTATTCAGCTGTGCAGGACAAGCTGATGTGTCAGCTGAGTCCGGAAGTGATTTTGTGACCTGCCCCTGGGCAGTATGAGCTGAGCCAGGAGGCACTGCTGCTGTGGGAGAAACCTGTTTCTCCTCACTCCCTCTGATGCTGCTGGTGGGAGTGTGTGGCTTATAAAATGTGGTGTGTGGCTTATAAAACGTGGTCCAGTGCTGGGGCTGCAGTGTTCTGGGTCCTCTGACAGGAGCAAGAGGGTAGGAATCCGAGGACCGTCTCTCTGACGTCTCTCTTGCTGACCTGAGTGGCTCTGTATAAGGCTTACTGAGCTGGGTGGCACTACTAGAATCGTCTCCACTGATCCTGACTGGCACTCCTTTTTCCTGGAGAGTACTGGGCACTATTATTGTACTCTTGGCAGTTAAGTTGTTTGGTTCACATTGTTTGGCCCAAGTTTTTTGTAGATTTTGCTGGTCAACGCCATTAAATTTGGAACAAATAGTAGAGGGAATATCTTTTATGTTAAATTCTTCAACAGTAGGATTCTTGCAAAACTTGTTTGAATTTACATTTCTCATATTTTTGCCATTTCTCTCAGTAGGAGGGCTTGTTTGAAGTAGTCTATCTAGAGGCAAACTTACCGGCCTAATCTTGGTCCTTGGAGTATGCCTCCACACACTGTTCGTTACCCTATCAGATTTCACAGTAAGTAGTTTAGAGGTTTTACAAACATCCTCCATCTTTTGGGATGCTGATTCAAGCTCTGGGTCTGAAAAAGAAAGATTTATTTAACTTTGTGGTTCATGTTTAACAGGAAAGTTACAAATGGGCACTCAAAACAACAGCATTGTTACATATTTTTCCGAACTTGATAATTTCAGTAGGATAAGCAGAGGAGTTAAATATTCATACAGTATTTATCTAAATCAATATAACAGCCACAAAGCACATCATAGGTTAGGAGAAAAACAAAACAAAATATTTTCTAAACTAACTTATTTTAATATAATGCCCATGAATAAATAATTTTCTGAGTCAAAGACTGTCATGATTTCAACAGGCAGAAATCAGTAAACTAACTGCAGAAAACTTACACCATTGTGCAGGTCAACCAAATGTAGGCATCCCCTGAACCCCAAGGATTTTGTCAACACTCACTTAGCCTGCTTTTCAGCTACATTCAGTCCATAGTGAGAGTACAGCTTGTTAGAGGCTTTGGATATTCTCCATAGCTGATCAACTAATTAACTGGAACACCCATTAGGTCAAATTAAGGTAAAAAAGTTGTATTTTAAGTTAAAAAAAAAAAAAGCCATTCTCTCCATGTACTAGTTGGTCCTAGATTTACTTTCTTTTCCTCTAGTCTGTCGCCTGATCCATGTTTTCTCCTCCAGGGCACCTGACTTCTCATATCCTGTCCCCTTTGCTGCACCCCCATCCCCTAAAAACTCCCATTTCTGGAAAGGTCCAGCCCTCTGCTCACACTCCTCCTTGTTGCTGAGAGACATCAAATGACTCAGCACCTTGAGACTACTCTGACTTGCAGTGCAGCTGGCCCTGTGCACAGCCCACAGGCCTCTGCCCTGTCACCTGGTCCTTCTCCTGCACCCTTGGGCAGTGGTGT